GGTGGCGGCGGCGGGGGTGGCGGCGGCGTCTGCGGCGGCGGTGGCGGCTGCGGTGGCGGCGACGGCCGTGGTGGTACCCTAAATCCCAAACCCCTAACCCCTAAACCCTAACCCCCAGCCCTCACTTCTTCTAAGACAAGCTGCGGGAGCTTCTTGGGCCAGCTCCTCATCGCCTCAGCAGTAATTCTTGAAAAGAGGGTCCGCAAGACTTCCAGATGGAGGTATATCTATACATATACATATATATATATATTACATACATACATGAAACCCGTCAGCTGGAAAGATGTGGGGTTCATGGGCCGGGGGGGGGGGGAGGGGGGTACCATATATGTATGCAGGTATATATAGACATAGATGTGGCAGATTCTGAAAAATACCGATATAATCTACATGATTTACATCTAGCTACTTGTACACGAGTATACAGGTGCATGTAATTCCCTGTTCTAGTGCCACTTTATGCTGAGGACTATGTCTTTGTGCGGGAGTTTGGGGAAGGGGAGACATAGATTTTCCCTAAAATCCTAAGCCCCTAAACCCCTAAACCCTAAACCTGACAAAGCAAGGCGCATCATCTGGGCTAGTCTACAAGCCCTGAATAGAAAGAGGGTTTTGGTAATCCCTATTAACCCAGCTAAAAAGGCCCCATCAAAAGTCTGATGATAGTCATAGGGTCCTAAATTTGGGGGGCATTGGGATAGCCAAAATACACTGTGTACTGGAATGAAATGTCTCTTCCGCGCGTGAGCGAAATATTTCTTCCGCACCCGCTTCAGCCCGCCCCCCCTGAAGCGCTAACCATTATAAACCTACCCATATCCAAAACCAGAATCCTAAACCCTAATGCCGCATCCCCATAAGTATCCTAGACGCGAGTCCACATATTTCCTTAAACCCCAACCCTGAAACATTAATCCCAATCCCTTAGCCCTAAATCCCACTCCATAAACCCTAAGTTCTAATCCCTAAATCCTTAACCCTAATTCCCAAACCCTAAACCCTAGAACCTAAACCCCGTGCAACCCCATCTTGGTAGTATCCCCTAACCCTATATAACCCCTACTAAAACTCCCAAGCTCAAGCCTTTCCCTAACTCCGTGAGTCCGGCTTCTATCGCTTCGTTCCGACTGTCCATCGCTGGCGTAGGCTTGGGCAGAGGAGTAGTCTCCTCATGGAGCGGGGTATATAGGGTTTAGGGATATTGAATTTAGGGTTTAGGGTTTAGGAAAACATGGGGATGTGTAGGGGATATGTAGGATTTAGGGTTTAGGGCTTAGGGTTCTAGGGTGCTGTGTTCTTGGGTTAGGGTTTGAGGAGCACAGTGAGAAGTAAAGTCTCCTGATGCTTTTTCTCCATGCTGTTTAGCACATGGGGAGAGAGGGATTCCGGAGGCTGCGGGGCTTAAGAGTCAAGGTGCATATGAAGCAGGTTATAAGCAAGATTATTGGGATGTACAGTAGGGCTAGTATAAGGATCCAGTCAGAATATCGCTACTTAAATCTACCCAACACCAGGCAGTGTTGGCTGATGGCGTTTGGGCTTACATTGGGGTTAGCCGCTGAGCTCCACCTAAAGGTAAGGGTTGTTTGAAGGCTTTGTGGGCTAAAGTGCAGTCCCCTGTTGTCAGTTACATTAGCTTCTGAAAGCTGCGGCTTCCCGGAGACTTGAGTATTGTGTCTTCTTTGCTGGAATAGAGTAATTCAGATGTTCGCGAAGTTGAAATACTAAAAGCAAAAAGACATTCTTGCTCTACCTTGGGGGCCTGTAGAATCCAGTTCGTATACCGCTCGCCTTTGGGGAACAACCATTTCTGTTCAACAATAACTTTGACGAGTTAAAAGCCTAGCAGTCACCTTGCTCAACCCAAGAACTCGTGTTCCAGGTTTAAAGAATGCAGCTCCGTTGCTTTGTGCACCTTGGAAGGCCCCAAAACAGGGACAACCATCCCGATCGTCAAACCCTAAAGCCTGAACCCTTCAACACTAAACCCCTAAACCCTTAAACCGTAAGAATTCAGCACGGGCATAACGGGATTGCCGATGTCCTTCGGAGGGGCTCCGCGCCAGTGAGGAGTTCTTCCTTTCCACGACCATCACAGGTGAGTATAGTGTTTTTTTTGGTGCTTGAACCTAGTTAGATAGTATTTCTTACATAAAATACTATACCCCAAAAGGAGGACATAGTCTTACTCTATATTGGGTGCCAGAGTATCCCCAAATAAAATACTACTCAGGTGTGTAAGAGGTCTGCACAAGACTTACTGGTGCCTAAGGGAAAGTAGGGGAGTGCATCATTCAAATAGCCTCTATCTCATCCCCACATATACCACTCTAAAAGTCCCCGTACCCACTCCCCGTCTCCCCCTTAAGCACCAGTAAGAAGATGGTATACGGCAAAACAATTGCGGAGCTGACCTCACACAATAAGAGGATGAGATTTGGATATGCGCTTCACACATTAACCATGGTGGTGCCTCTGACATTAATTAATCCATTCTCGTATCTTTGGGTGCATCTATGGAATCTCTGCATGTAGTCCAAACACATTCCCTTCAACAAGAATCTCTGGCTTAGCTGACGTAGGAAGCCGTCTTGCGGAATCTCCTTGAAACTCTTGTCGGCTGTGTTCTTGCTTGCTGGCGTTCTTTCTGAGTGGAGCGCGGCTAGGAGGCTCGGGGCGAAAAGCGGGCTTCAAGCCCGGCGAAGCTTGTCCTTCACGTCCCGCCTCCCTACCCCACTGCCCCGACTTGAAACCTGAGTCTCCCGACGATCTTCGTGGACTATGCTTGGTCAGGAAATTCTAGTAACCCCAACCCCTAAAATTCGGACCCTGGTATAGTTATATGATAGTTCCAGCGTCCTTGTTCTAGGAGCAGGGGTTGCTGAACCCCCCCAAGTAACAAATAGTAAGAGTGCAGACTAACATTCAATCGCCTGCATCACCCTGAGTCAAAGGGTTTTGAAATCTCTTCGCGTGGCTGCCTCCTAGGCTCTCAACCAAGCCCTAAACCCTTAAATCCTGAGCCCTTAACCCTCAAACCCTGAACCCTTGAACCTAAGCCTTAATCCCTGAAACCCTAAACCCTAAATCCCTAAACCCCCTAAACCCTTAAACTTCAGCGAATACCGGGCCTAGGCTTGGACCGCCGTGGCTCAGTTGGCCTCTGATAAGCAGCACTGGGTGTGACGTGGGTCTTGCTTGTTTGTTGGAGATCAGCAAGCTAAAGATCCAGGGTTTACCTGCAGCCTGTGGGGCCTGCGTTTTTGGAGGCCATACAACCAGATCCTGGTTTCATGTTTGAGAACCTGGTTTTAGCCCAAACGACCCGTACTTTGACGAACGACCTGTGTTTTAGTCCTAACATCAGGTACCGCACATCCAGTGGATAAGCTAAGCTCCAATCAGCATCGAATAATGACCAACATTCACCATGACAGGTCTCTGAGACTTCCTTTTGGGATTCAAACAAAGCAGCGAGACTCCTGTTTGGAAAAAAATGGAGATTAAGTCATGAAAAGCCATATGGGATGGGGCTCATGTAGCTCTCTATATTTACATATATAGGGGAAGGGGGTTTCTGGGGCAGAAGAAGATAGGAAGGACGAGGTGAGAAAGCAGCTTCCAGCTGCTCGAGCTGCCCAAACGGGCACTGCAGCCGATGAGAAGGCGGGGTCCTGCTCGGAGGGTGAGGGTATCAGGGTTGATAGTTAAGAAAAGTCGAAGTGTTCTTTCTGGGCATGTCAGCTTAAACTGAAACATACTTGTGTGCGGTTTGGGGATCACAGGGGTAATGAGAGTATTTATTTTGGGGTCTGCAAGCTTCATGAAGCACTCCCTTAGTCTGCCGGTATGGCAAATGAAAGAGTTTTCTCCTTGTGTTGACCATTTCAACAGCCGTCCGCGCCTGTTGAGGCTCGCACGTGTTTTAGATTTGGGCTTCGCGCAAGTGCATTGTGGAAGCATGATGGTCAGCCTAGAAGGCGTTTCGGACGAGTGGGAGGGCTGTGCAGTGGTGCGCAGCCAGTACAGAGAATCTCGAAGGCTTTTTGTCTTCGAGGGCGCGGGCAAGGAAGACAAGCATGATCCGCCCATCCATGTGAAGACTGCTGCAGCCAACAGAGATGCCCTTCTGCCGTTGATGAAGCGCATTGGCCAGGCCAGGAAGCAGCTGTTCACGATTGCGATGGTGGAAGCTGAGTCCCTCATTTTTTTATTTTAGCAGCGAACCTCGTAGCTATCATGTATATATATCCTATGGATGAACTTTCAGGGACCCGGTATGATAGCAATCCTGTCTTAGGTTGAAGAAGCTTTTCAAGCTTGTATTTCCGAACGCGCTTGTGGACCGCTACGACGTGAAGAAGGATGCCTGGCTTTGTAAATCGTTCGCGGTCTTAGTCAAGAGGAAGATTTCGAGGAAGGTAGTGTCGCGGAACAAGGACTTCCGGGTCCTCATGAAAGCCGTGGAGGCCGCGCACCGTATCATTTTAAGAATTCGAAAGCCAGTGCGATTCTTGCAGTTGATTCGCATTTGAAACCCTGTTCAGGGCGAAGATGACGTCGAGAGTGACGAAAGTGATCGCTCAAGCCAGGGCGGACCAGACGACGATGACAACGACAACGAAATCATCGCCCTTTCGGATGAGGATGTGCTTGACGGTGAGGACCTCGCCAGTTTGGATCGGATGCTTGCTCTTGATGATGGCACGCAGCCTACGCTTGATCCAGAGCCCAGCCAAGCCGCAAGGCCTCACGAGATCGAGGGGCCCTTCCTGGACAAGTCCAAGGTTGAGCAAGCCGTGGAGAACAACCCGAAGAAAGTGGTTGACGTGGGCGGCGCGCGCCAGGAAATGGTCTACGTTGAGATCCCGGACTCGCCCGAGCAGGCCGTGAAACAGGAGCTGCCTGCGGAGGAAGAGACTCCCGGGCTTCACACGCCTGATCCGAAGCGGGACGCGGCCTCGCAAGTGTCGTTGGGCTCCGGGGACACGGCAGCCAAGAAGATTCCACTGTCAGACGGCTCGCTGGACTCAGGCAAGGCAGCCAAGGAGCTGGCTGAGGACAGCTCGCCTGGTTCGTCAAGCATGGGGCCCGCATCTGCGAAGAAGATGCTGGTTTTCGAAGACTTGCCGGAATCTGCTAAGCGCATCAAGAAGATGGCCGATCTGTCTAAGCAGTTGGCTATGTTGAAGCAAAAGCAGGCTACCAGGCGAGGCGTTGGGTTTATATAGTGAAAACGGTATATTTGGGCGAATGTGGTTGAGACGGTTCATAAACATGGGGCTTATACAATTCATAGGGTTTGGGGTTGCAATGGAGAGCAAGCTTACTTGCAGTCCCTGCAGGACGCGCGAGCTGAAGGCTTCTGCGAAGCGTAGTGCCGAAGCAGGACTTCATGACGTTTCACTCAGGGACTTGTATTGCCATTGTGGTTGGCTGTTCTCATATGTAGGGCTTGCAGGCGGGTTCGATTTCAGCGCTTGCCTTGCACACGAACTCTTCGCAATCGCGCCGGTTTTGAAGGGCGTCAACATTTTGGAGGGTCATACGTTGGCTACGGGAGCATAGTTGTAATTGCGGTTTACGGCTTACAGTTGAGAGGGCTTATAATTGACGGGTTTATTTGAGCTTATAGGGTTTTAAGGGTATATAGGGTTTATATGGGGTTTATGGGGCTCACATGGGCTTATATTGCTAATAGTGTTTATAGGGTTTATATATGCTCACATACCCATGTTTTCAGTGATATAATCACACATAGTCCTGAAAGATCTCAAGGTTCGGAATAGAGTCTGTGTCGGTTTCTGTCTTTCTGAAATCTTTTTGAGTCGTGTGTAGTTGTATGTTAGTATAGCAAAATGGATCCGGCACATTGGATTGATTCCGCGCATAGATCTTTGCTGTTCTTACTTCTCGGTTGCACTGGTTGTGATGCTAATTTCGAATAAGAATTCTTTTTGCTTCGGAATTCCTTGCGATCGCGATCCAGGACAAAAGCTGCTACAATGATGACAATGTTTTCAGCAATAATCCTTGTAACCTTGAGTTAGGTATATACCAACTATAAACGGCGAGAATTGTTCATATTCAGTGGGTATGCATGGGGGGTAACTAGGGATTTTTGGAGTCACCGAACCCGTATGTAATTGCACGCGCTTAAAGCATTACAAGCATAATGTTTGATCCTAATGGGTCGAAGGATACTCAGCCTTTTGATGCAACTTGTAACAAGACGCGTAGGGCCATTGCAAATATTTTAGAACCACTGTGTCAGAGGTTTCAGTTTTTTGCAAGATTTGGCAGGAGATTCGGACGCACGGAAGGTGTTGGATGGCTCCCCAATAGACCAGGTTAGGCAAAAAATTGTCGAATAGGTAGAATTGAAGAGAAGGCAAAAAACTATCGAACAGACAGATTATGTTGGTTGAAAAATCTGCCGAAATTAGGCAGAGAATCTGTTGAATTTGAGAGACCGTAATTTGCCGAATTCGGCAGAATTTGCCGAATTAGACTAATCAGTGGGCCAGAAAAGACGAAGCAGTTTGGCGGCAGTTTGACGGAAATTTCTAGTAAACTGCTAATGGATCTGGGGCCTGACAGCTAGCAGTTTCCAGCCTGCAGTGAAGCAGTTTGCTAGCAGTTTAGTCTGGTCATTGGTGACTTTTCCTGTGGTGTTTGTTTCATCATTTCTGCATAAATATTGCTGCAAAACATGTTCCTGTGGCAATTATAAAGCCCGAAAAACTCCCAAAATGGGTCTAGCAGTTTGGGCCTTTGGGCGAAGCAGTTTGCTAGCAGTTTGCCTTCGGCACGATTTGCCGAATTAGGCACAATCTGCCGAATTGGACTAATTTCATTCGTGCCGATTTAGGCAGAATTTGCCGAATTAGACAAAAGTCGTTTTGCCGAAATTTAGACTAATCTGCTTCTTAACCTAACCGAAAAATAGGTTCGTTTTCTTGCCTAAACACGTTGACGAAATCAATGAAATCTACCGATTTCATAGGAACCAAGAGAAGTTTATTTTTTGCCTAACCCGGTCTATTGGGTCGCGGAAAAGTTCGGCGAGTGGATCTACAGCTGGTCCCGACATGGAAGATACGCAAGTCCAGGACGATTCGGTGCTGGAAGAGATCGCCCACCAGTACCGATCCATGCCAGGCATGTTCGACATCGACACTAGCTCGGATGATGAGAACGCGAAGAACAAGAAGCCATGCGTGGCTCCTTGAACCAATTCGGTTAAATATACATTCGCACGCACGCTGCCTACATAAAGATCCCATGCGGGTTTTTTGGGTGTAGTACTTCTCAAAATGTAGTGGGTCTTCAATATACGCATGTTTTCAATGGAGAACAACATTACAAAACACATCATGAGTGAACCAGGTCTCTCGGAGGGATCAGATCGGCCTCAAAGCAGCGAAGGATGCGGAGAAGAAGAAGCAGCTGGAGGCTGCAAAGCAAGCCAAGGCCAAGAAGAAGTTGGCCAAGAAGGGTGATGAGGACACAGTGCCCGAGCCAAAGACCCGCAAGGCTCGCGCGAGTGCGGATACCTCGGCCCCACCCTCGGAGCCGAAGCCCAAGAAGAAGAAACCAGCAGTCGAGCAGACGAATGGCAACACTGCTGATGAGGAGTACCACGGCTATTATGGTTGGGAGGAATGGGGCGAAGGGCCTTGGGATGGGACCGCGCCCTCGCACGAAGAGGCCTATGGGGTGGTCGACCATGACGCCGAGCAGGGTGAGGCCGCCACAGCCAAGCCCAAGAAGACCAAGCTGAAGCCTGACGGGCAGCCAGCCCTGAAGAGTACCAAGACCTCGAAGCAGAAGGAGTGTGACCGCAAGAACGAGGACGTTGAGGAGCCTGAGTCAAAGCCTGACGAGGCGCCGGCAGCCGTGAAGAAGACGTTCGCCCGCCGAAAGTGTCCAACCACGGTGAAGGGGCAGATCAAGTGGAACGCGGCGCAGGCAGTTTTCATGAAGAAGATCTATCCGAGAGTTTGGTCGCCCAGCACCCACGAGGACTGTTCACCAGGGTTCTTGCTTCGAAAACTATCAAACTCACAGGTAGGCTTTCCTACATAGTGGGATGATCTGATCCACCCGCAGCTATACATAGCTATGTAATTCTGAATTTGTTCCTGGCAATCATTCCACGCGGCCTTTCAGGTACGGATATATACATTGAGATTCCATTGCTCGGGACCCCTTACTTAGCTGAAGGTTGCTAATTGTCCACCAGCGCAATCCAGAAGTGGCGGCGCAGCTCTTGACACCAAAAATGCTTCCCAACGAACTTCTATTTTTCCCTATATCGAATGTGTGTATCTTTTACCTGTGTATTCTGTAAAGACATTGGGTTCTCAGTAGTTATACATCCAATGTAAGACAACCCCCCTGATAACCTGAAAAATCATTTCCCAGTACTAGAACAAGTTGTGACCTTTGTGACCTCTGTACGTTTACGTAATCCTTGCCATTATGTGTGTAGTAGGCAGGCAGAGTACGAAGACCCGACCCTTTCCCAAATTTTTTTCAGGATCACTTCTGGTCTGCGTGCATGGAGGAGTTCAAGAAAGCCGATCAGCCCCTTGATGAAAAGAGCGCCCGCTTGTGCGCCAAGAAGGCTGCCATGGATTACTTGGCAGAGTTGAGCCAGGAAACCTAGTCGCTCTTGAGATTTGAAGACGTCATATGAGTTTTGGCCAATCCAACAGCGGCCTCTGTACAGGATTTAGTGCTGTAGGAGCTGTGCGTGAGAGAGCTCAGGCATGCCTAGGGGTAGATACGCAAGTGCCTTGAAAATTCTCATCATAGTGCATCTTTTCTCCTTTACTGATCCACGCGCAGCGCGGGCATGACCTTGTCGCAGACGGCTGCGCTAGCAGCGATTGGAGGGGAATACGTCTCGCAAAACACGAAGCGTCTGAAAAGTGTCCAACCGATTCTTCTAACCATCCCATCCCCAAACGCAAGCCGTACCGCGCAATACTTACAAATATGGAAATGCATTGGCCATACGTGTGCCTCTGTGTGTTTAACTCTATACAGAGTATGTTGTATCCTGGCTTGCATGTGGGAAGGGTGTAGTCTGCATCAGGCTACCAGGGATGTATTCCTAGAAAACTTAACCTGCAACCTTAACTTCAACCCTGCAACTGCTATCTTCATATATACTCTAGAACCCATACAGATGTTGGTTGTTTACTAGCGTAAAATGATGAACTTAGTTAATCCAAGGATCTGGTGGCCGCACAGTGTCCGCATCTAGAATCATCCCTTATTGTTGAGTTTTTTGCGCCGCCCTTTCTGTCGTCGTACCCTTTGTAGTGATGAACTCCCCGCGTGATACCTAAGAAGAATGATGCTCCCCTCCTGAGCTTCCTAGACGTGGTTCTATGTGTCCTTGCACAGGCCATGGCTGCTTGGAGGGTTCGTCTTGGAGTTGGGCAACATGCCCAGCGTGATCGCCAAGCCTGCGTGTTTGATGCTTTGTTCAGGGTGCCAATGCCGGGGGATGTGTAGAGACAGCTACGGGCTTGTGGACTCGTAGGGTCCTATCCTCCTTAGGTTGCAGGGTTGCATTCTTTTCTTGATTATCAGCCCGTTTGGGTTCTGCTGACTATGGAGGACTCGATTTTATATAGAAGCAGTGAGGGAAGGCGAGTTTCACGCCGCAGTTCCACTTATAGTGAGTGCAGAATGGAATTTAGCGAAGAGCTCCCCGAAGAAAGGTCCATGCAAATCATTATATTTATGATGCGCGTGCAGCTGCTTGCTCAGCCCTCCAGTTCAGATAGCGAAGTTCCATATGCACTTTCGTGGCCAAGGGCTGCACGTTACATGATGCTCTGCGCGGAAGCTTCTGCGCGCTTGGACAATATCATCCGAAAACTTTCCTTTGCGAAGGCTCCTAAAGCTACTTGCTGGCATGGAGAGTTTCTGCCACAGCGCTGTCATTTACGCGATGTTGTTTTTTTGTATCTACTGGAATTATAAAGCTTTGTGTTGGCAAACTAGACTAAACCAAAGGTTTTTTTTGCGCAGAGTTGATTCCAAATCCACCACTATTCCCCATTCCCCGCCTTCGCAAAGGTCCTGATGGCAGCCGTGATTTTGCTGGCCTTCGCGAACAACATAGTATTGTTCTCTGAGGCGTGCAGTTTTCTTGATCTCCATCTTTCCCAAGTGTGTGTGACATTAGATGTATGGAACGTTTCCCAGGGTTCGATTTCTCTTTATGAACTACGCTTTTCGGTTGCTTTGCCTTATGCAAGGCCTACAGCCTGATCGAGCTCTTCTCAGGGACCGGATGGGTATCGAAGAATTTTCGGGTGGGACGTCTTCCCACAGCCTCCTTGGATGTTAACATGGAGTGCCCCAGCTCTACAAGGATAAACCCGTATGACCTCACCACTACTGCAGGAATGGCGCGTCCCAGCTGCAACTGTAGAAGTTATTGCGCAAACATAGTCCACAAGCCAAGCTTGGTATCCATGACTTCTACAATCTTAGACCTCACCTTGGAGCCATCTGATTGTGTAGGTTGTCCCCCAAATTTGTTGACAGGCGCTTCCCATGTTCTCGTTAAAAAACCTGAGGCCCTTAATTTTTTGAGGAGATTGAGCCGTCCTGCGCATGTGTGTAGGAAAGATTGAAAAACCTGCAAGGCTAGCTCTGGCGACAATCCTCAACGGCAAGCAGAACAAATTCCTCGTGGTGGCTGCACCTGTGTGCAGTTCGTTCGTGCCCATAAATTCTGGAACCCATCGAAGAAGCCTCATCGACCCTCTTGGACGCCGTGACCTGCCATCTGTGGTGGCAGGTAACCTTCTCACATCGCGGCGGCCCAGCCCAAATAGATCAAAACCAAACCTATGTTTTCCAGCAGTAGTGGGAGTCTGGAGAGCCTTTGAGGAGGTTTTGGGGAGGTCTTGGGGGATTTTGGAAGGTCGTGGGAAGGTCTTGGGCAGGGCTTGGACAAGTTTTAGGCAGGCTTGGCCGGGTCTTGCGGGGTTTTGGGGCCTCTTGCAGACCTCGGGGGGAGTGGATATAATCAAAAAATCATCATGTAAATTTACATGATGATTTTTTGCACGCTTTGTCTCTGCACGGCCAAATGGATTCAATACTTGCCCACTGCCCTATAAGCCCTATTAAGCCTGTACAAGCCCAACCCCCCTTGTAAACCCTACAAACCCAAAACCCAAAACCCTGTATCTATATATACATGTTATATACAACCTGGTCCGCAAACTCAAGAAGTGCAGCCTGTCCACCTTCAAGTAGCGAACCGCTGTTGATTACGCCCCACAACCCCAGGGTTTATCGTGCCTCAAAATAAATTCTAGGGTTTGCGTGTAGGGTTTATGCAAGGTTTATATAGGGTTTGAAGGATTTCTAAGGTTTATATACATAGGGCTTTTTACGTATAAGGGGGCTCAAGGTTTACAAAAACGGGTTATGGGGTTTATATAGGGTTCGAGCACGGGCAAGCCTTGCATTCCTTAAGGCGACAATCGAAATGGTTTCCGTGTATTATAGACAATCATGGAAGATCAACAACAAATCCCCACGTTCGCCTTTCGAAGCCCACCCTTGCTCCCTGCTTCTCAGGACATCGCTCTTGCTCATTTTGGCCACGATATGCGGATGCTCCTGGCTGATGGAGCAGCCACAAGGGTCGATTATGGAAGTGCATCCACGTATTCGCTTCTTGTTTCGGCTTGCTGGTCGAGCACGAGGGTTGCAGGAAGGGGTTCCGTTCATGCTGCGGGGCCCATATAGCTAATGGAAATCTAGATGTGTGTTGGCATACATTTCTCGAGTCAACACCGAACCTAGGTATTCAGAATACGATGGTGGATGGCTCACTATGGGGGACGCAGTCCCAAGCGTCATGTGGGCTACAGTAATTGTGCCGGTGTTGGCAGCCTGAGTCGTGGAACCTTACGTAAGAAGGTCACGCAGCGGTTGCGGAAAAAAATGCAGACTACGAAGACGTCTGTGTCTGTCAGCGGTAAGAAAGTCTGGACAGGCACTCGGGCCCTGAAATCCACTCAGTAACCAGCCTTTGTTGATGTGTCCATGTTGGGTTCCTATCAACTCGGATTCTTCAGTCTTTCTCATTCCTACTATAAAGGCAACCAAATTCTATAGGCCCAAAGACAATCCAATCCATCCTATATAGCCCTATAATTCCACGTTTTACATATTCCACATGCGTATATGTATGTAGCGGGGCCCTGGCTATGGAAAATTCAGTCAAATTAAGGCATTATCCACCTCTCTTTGGACAGAAGATCTACCGGATGTTTCATCGTTTCCTTGAGCTACGACACGAGCCTGCTCCTTTGTCGGCGCAGCTTTGTGCACGACCGGCAACAATGTTCTTTGAGACAACAGAGTGGGGCGATATGTGGGAGGATGCGCAAATGCGCACTGTCTTGCAGTACCTTTTTGGCAATTTAAATCTTCGTCTTCCTCCGGAGTGGAGACGGCTGTTTCCTGAAACTTTGTGATTCAGGCACCGAGACTCCATGGGCCTTTGAATGACGAGTGGAAGTCCTCTCAAAAAGACAGGTTCTGTGTAGATGGCAATGCATGACCTTATTGATAATTTACGTCTTCAAGTATCAATTCTACCGAAACAGATTGTTCTTTAGACGGTTTTGGGGTAGACACTTATATCGCTTGCAGGCTTTCAGAGAAGTTGAGCACAGGGTCCGGGCTGGCGGCCGAAGCCGTGACTATCTGGTTGGTTAAAATAGAAGGGAATCTGGTTGTCTTTAGTAGAAATTAGACAGCACACTTGAACCGAAGTAGACATTTATCATAAATTTCTTGGGAATTTATAGAACTTCTAGTGGAAGAGACCCACGTTTCGAAGAATACGTAAAAAATACGTAAAGGGGCCGGAAGGTACGTATTTTTTACGTATTTTAACGACCCCCAAATCGTGACCCGTACACGACCCGTATTTTCCCGTACATGTCCCGTATAAACCCGAACAGAAATACGTACAAAATACGTACTTTAGCCATTTTTTCATTCTTGCATTTCTGAACGGTTTTCAATGGTTTTGTGTATGTACGGCTACCTGAGCACATGTTCTCTTACCAGGTGTTCCCGGTTCAGCAGTGTAGACTTCGGGTTGTAGCGGTGAATCATGGTGGCAACCTCGGCCAGTAACAATGTGCGACTGAAATCCAGACAATGGAGTTGCTCAGCTTTGGTGGATGCTCACAACAAGACCCTTGCAGCGAAGAATGAGTTGCCCGATGAGGGCGCTGATGATATAGATGCCCAGATCAAGGCTAGCTTAGGGTTGGATGTGAATCACCAATTGTGTTCTCCGGGCGTAGAATACAGTATATCCCCTTGCAGCAATCCCTGCAGCACGTCCTTGCAATGAAGGCCGCAGAGGCCCAGCTGGCCGCTCTTCATCGCCTTCGATCTTCAAGCTCTGATATGGACAGTTGTTAAAGGGCTGTATAGCAAGGGCCACCACGTTTTCCCACATTTCTAAAGACACGCTCCCTAGGACAGTGCGTCTGTGGCTGACTCGCAAGCTACGATACCGGTTCCTCGGTTTAAACTACTCAAGCCTACAAAGCCCTACACTCCAATGGAGTTATGAGATCTTCGTGATTCATATTTTGTCAGCCAAATTGTCGCATATACATGATTCCAATTAAGGCTACTTCGGCGCAGCTACGCGCAAAAGCCACAGCAGCCAAGTCAAAGCCGTGCCGTACCCCCGTGAAGGAGCAGCAGGAGGAAAAGGAACAGGCCACGCCCGAAACAAGACCTGGCAAGCGTCAACTCGCTCAACCTGTAACCACCCCGCCCCCACAGCCAGCTAAAGCAGCCAGAGCTGAGACCCCCCCAGTTCCGAAGGTCAAGCAAGATCCTCCACCCCGACCCTCGAGACTGAAGAAGTCGGAGTCTTCAGGCGAAGACGAAATGGCGCGTTTGCTGAAGGAAATTGGGAAACCATGCCCTGAAAGGTAGTAGCGTCACTTATACGGGTTTAGGGTTTATAGGGTTTATAGGGTTTATATAGGGTTTATATAGGGTATATATATATAAGCCCGACAACCATAAAAAAAACAACCCTATATAAAACAAATCTGAACCTTATAAACCCTACATATCTTTGATAAAAACCCTATATAAACCCTTTATAACCCCATATAAACCTTATAAACCCTAGACCGAGCGAGCGAGGAGCAGGAAACCTTGTCAAAGAAGATTCGACTGCTTGAGCAGAGTGAGGAGAAGAAGCCTGAACAACCGCAGCAGCAGCAACAGCAGCAGCAGCTGCGCAAGCCAAAAAAGAAGGGCGAGGATGAGGAGGAAGACATCCCCCAGAGTATTGCAGCCAAAAAAAACAGGCTGCGGCGCATATGTGAGCGCAAACCAAGCGGTAAGCTCCAGGTGCCAGAACAAGTGCACCAAACATGGGCGCAGGGCGGAACAGCACGCGACGAGTTGCTAGAGCAACTGGAAGCTTGCGGACGGAAGAAGGACCTGAAACCTTGTAGGCTTCATGCAGCTTATGTACTCGCCCGAACATCTTCATACCTGACACTGCTGCGCAGGAGCGGTTTCTGACGCAGGTGACACGGTCAAAGGAAGCCCTCAGCCGCAAGTCTGAGCGCCGCAAGAGGGCGTGGCACACCAAGGAAAGCATGAAAACAAAGCTGAACTGGTCAAAGACGCCGGTCTAGAAATTGCATGAGGTTCTCTGCGCAAGTGGGATTCCACGTTATTTGATATCTACTTTTCACTGTGTGACTGTCAATTCAGGACTTACATTGCAGATGCCGTCAAGTTCTGTGAGGCCAACGGCTTGACCAAGAGCCTTGCCTACAGTAACCAAACCAGCAACCCAGCGCAGAGAAACATCTCACCCCTGGAGTAAATCAATCCTATGAACCCTAAATAGATACAAGCGGTTAAAACTATAAACCCTATATAAACTTAATTTACACCCGACTATACTTCCCCAATGCCTGGTATCCTCTAGAACCAGAAATTGACACAAACTAGTGACAAGCCACTGCGTTGGAGACTTGATGTTTTGGGGCTTGGATCTACAATGTTATAAGTGATAGACATTTATACCCTATAGATATAAGTGCTTCGATTACAACTGCTGAAGACTACATTGAACTCGCGGGCATTATGAGGGAGGTTCTGCATGAGCTGCGAGGGTCGGCTGGGTTGTGGTTTTTTCCATGCTGAGATCTTAAATGTTTTTTTAAGGTGGATCGAGAGTTCATGTGTCCTCATGTCCTGATGAATCTAGGTTTTTTATCGTACACATCACATCCTTTTTTTTGACCCTTGAACCGCGCCCAAACCCCACCCCACACCCATTCCCTGTCCCGAACTTTCAACAGAAAGCCGCGAAGTCTTGGCACACCGTGCTCCACAACTGCGAAGGTAATGCGCATGCTTATGCTGGGCCCACTAGTTGCCTTAATCCTATCTGAGGAAAGATCGCTACAACAAGAAGCTCCTGAAGTACAAGGTCATTGTGGAGGACGAGAGCGAGTCCTACGACGCTGACCAAGAAGTTGAGAGGACCGAGGAAACTTCCGAAGCGAAGGTGCCTTGGTTCTAAATGGATTTGCCCATGTTGCTCTTGAACCTGCTCTGTTTCAGCCTTGGTTTCAATGCAACTCAGCAACCCCTCGGCGAGTTCAAGCGGATCGGCCGGGCGGTTCAGGTCGAGAGCGATGATGATGACAAGGAGGCTGCGACGGAAATCACTACAGCTGCCCAGGACCACACCTGTGTGACATTCCTTATAAGCCCCAAACAGGTAATTCGATCGTTTGTGCCAGGAGTTTCTGAATTTCAAGAAGCTCGGTGATTCGCTGTTGTCCCGCACGGGCAAGATCACGGATATGATTACCAGCCTGGAAGCCTACCTTGGGAAGGTTGAGGAGGGTTCGCGGGATCAGAAGCGACTCGAGAAGATTCTTATCACGCAATTTATGGTGTCTCTGCGCATGACCCGCTTTTTGCGAAAAAAACCGTTGAGCCATTAACTCTCAGGTGCGTTGCAGAGATGGAGTCCAGCTCGCACATACTTGAGACAGAGTATGCGGCTGTCGAGACAGTGAAATCCGAAACATCCCCTCTTGCGTCGGGCAAGCTTGACAAAGATGATGAGTCAGCGCTGCTTGCTTGAATTTAGCCCCAATGTTCATGTATAGCTCTCATTCGACATCTCTGGCCCCTTTACAGCTAAGGATGATCAAGAAGATTGCGATCCAGACCGCGCAAACGCAGGTCAAGTGCCTTCCTTATTCTTATAGTTCTTGGATTTTCAACATAAAGTGCCCACCCAGACCCGCTGCATCCTTGCCAAATCCCTTTCCGAGGTGCTCCAAAGTGACCACGTGCGAAAGCATTGCGAAGCCTCATGGTCTGTTAAAGAACGCAAGTTATGCTTTAAATTAGTCTTGGTTCCATATGCGCATTGTTCGAGGTTAGGCTTGAGGTGTTTACGTAATGATTTCTTGTTGCCATGTAGTGGCCCATTTTGCCAGGAACCTGTTGAAGCATCTTCGGAACACCTATGATGAGTGAGCCAAAATGAGTTTTTCGGTTCATGATGAGCCTGAGCCTCCAATCTTCTTGAGCGCATATGTGGCTATTGGGTTCTAGCTGTATCTACTCTTCATCATGGCTTGCATTCCCCAATAAGTATATGGAGTTTTGATTGTGCTACTGCCCCGGAATTAAGTTTCTAAACTTTACGCCCGCTCTGTTGAAAGGGGCTCACGCAGGGATGCCATCCTTCAGGATGTTGTTATTTGATAGTTCCTGTGCGCTGCGCCTCCGCAGCCCTTCCGTTGAAGCTGGCATACCAGCTCAACAAGCACGCAGGTCATCGGTAGGTTCCTACTATCCCTATAAACATAAGTCACGTAGCCAGTACTTGTAATGTGGCGACAGGTTTTCGGTTCGGGAAGGAACGATGAAGGGGTCATGCAAGGGGTATGTTACACAGCGCAGCGAGCGCAGAAAAGGATTTTTCTGTGAGAACTTGCTGCAAACCATGATGTAGCACTTGCGATCTTTATATAGGTTGAGTATAACAATGTATTCAATTGTTCGATTTTGTTCCTCTTTTGTTACCCTCCAAGTCAGCAAGGTGCCATAGCATTCTTTCCCTATAAACCCCAAGAACTGCATGGTCCATGCCTAGAAAAAGGCTCTGGGCATGAATCCCTCGGCCTAGAATCGAACAAGCCGAAGGCATTCCAACATTCAGGGTGGGTACGGTCTATGGGGCTTACAAGGCTTATAGTGCTTATATAGGGCGTATATAGGGCTTCTAGGGTTTCTAGGGCTTATATAGGGTTTATATACAGAGTTTATAGGGTTTATAGGCCTTAAAGGGCTTGTAGGGCGTATATAGGGTGTTTATGTATATGGTTTATAAGGTTTGTAGAGGGTCTATAAAGGGTATAGGGTTTATAAGGGTAACAGTGTCCTGGCTACCTCTCCTCATCTCTAGGCGCTGTATTTCGCCAACAAAACCAGTACACTTCAGCAAACATGCCAGGCTGGGACCCCGGCGAAGTAGTTCGAAATCTGGCCAAAATGGTCGCTCGTGGGGCCACGACCTTGGGTAGGCTTGCAGCTTCAGTTGCGCAACCGATGGTAAACTCTTTTTTTTGTACGTATGCCTCCTATACAACATGTACAAATATCAGATCCGGTACATAGCTTGATCGAAGTCTTACAAGCCCCAGATTTTGTGTGTCAATGTTTTCTCACAAGCTAGATGCATTTGTTGCGGTATTGTTAGTTGCGGATGAGCCTCTATGTTGACTGTTTGCTCGATGGCATTATGGTTGAAAATCCTGACACCGAGATAGCATAGAAGGATTTGTTGGGGCGCATGGGTCCTGTTTGAAAGCTCCATTGCTCCCACAGAGAGGCCTTCAATACGTCTAGGAAGGTGTACATATGGGTTCTTTACACCCCAAAACGTAGAGAACCTAGTTGTGTAGCACCTCATTGTCAAAGATGCTCCCATAGAAAAGGTTACGTTTCTAGCCTTGCGTTGCAATGGCCACCTTGCACTCGCTGGAAGCCGACCTCCTTGATTTACTGACGTATGACTGCCCATTCACGGGTGAGAAACGATGTGCTGCCTACCCTGCAAGTGTGGGAACCTCGAAAAAACCAAAGTCGCCAGGTTGACAACAGAAATTGTTTTTAGACCCTGCTAAGGTTTTATTTGGCATATGTACATAGACTTACACCAGGTCGAAAATAGTAGTCCCAAGCTTCTCCCGACAGCATCCTTTTCAAAGCATGCGCCCCTGTATACCCATTCCGAAATTCCCTTGCCTTTTGGCAGCTTACTGCTACATTTGGCGGCATTAGGACTGGGCCCGAGTCTGAGTTCCCCATGATGAAAACACCGCTCCTGTCTACGAGATCTGTTGCTAGCGCAGAAGAGAGGCAACCCCTACCGCCCTTGCGTGTTCCCAGGGACCCGGCCCCAGTCGGGGCTTTCGCCCAGCCACACACAGGTGTATCTCAGCGAACTAGCGGATTACTTTGTAAGTTGTTTTTGTTTTTGAGTTTGGGCTTTAGTGGTTTTCGTACATGCCGAATTACATAGGCGGTTTTTTAGTAGCTATATAAATTATATGCACAGACTCCAATTTCATGTTACTTGGGTCCCTTGAACTACAGCAGGCGACTTTGACGTTGGAGCGCTTGGCTGCTGAGATTGATCCCAATAAGATTCCGTGGCCTAGGCTTGAATGCTTCGGCTTAATCAATCGCTTGCATCCTGCAATTGGCCCTCGCGCGAGCTGTGGTAGAATCCTTCAACATTGCAAACAAATGGTTACGTCTTTCCGGGAGAACATGGGCATCGCTCTGACATGCTTTAAAGTTGGGGTAACCTGTAATCCGGTGCCCCGCTTCCTCTTGTACAGAAAGAAGAACTTTACCAACATGTGGGTAATCCACTCCAGTATGTGTGTTGGGGAGACACATATGCTGGAAGCTGCCCTGATTAGCTTATTTCAAGATGCTTGTGGATGTCAAAACAAACCCCACAGCGGCGGCGAAGGCGCCCTGAACCGTGAAGGCATTGCCGGACCATTCTACACTTACGTTGCGGGGGGTCGAGCAGATCAGCCCAGAAGAGTAGGATGATTACTGTCGCTGAGCAAGAATTGCTTGGCAAGCGTATGTAGTTCTATAGATCTACCAAAGCCGCCATTAATTTCGCGAAGGCAGCGAGCTCAAAAAAAGGAGTTTGCTTTTCGAATTTGTCAGAACACATGCAATCCTCTCCTGGCCGTATCTGGCCGTATGGATCTAAGACCGTATGTGTGCTTTTGCCTAAAGCGAACATCAGTCTTGTCACCTGCTCCTCAACTTGCTGCCCGGGGTTGCAAAACTTTCCATTTCAAATTCCGCCTAGGCCCCATGCAAGCACGCGGTGGAGACGGCAGAGGCTGCGCTGCGTGACAACAGAGGTGGAGAGGTTCCGCCAGCTTTGCGTGAGTTCGCTAGCATAAAGAAGAATGATGCAGAAGAGGCATGTCACAAACTTTTTGCAAAGTATGGCCTCACTATTCCTGTGAAGATTGAAGAAATGAATGTTGGGCCGGGGGAGCTAGCCAAGTTTCCTTTCCTCCCTTTCTCATCTTGGATGCGATATCTGATCGACCATGAGAAGCTGCACCTTGTGACTGGAGTGAGCTTGGATGAGCAGGATGAGCTGCTTTCCGAGTTTTGGCTTCGGTACCAAGCCAACCACCCACGCCACCAGTTGTTTGAGCTTGCGCGTGACGGGGCAGTGGACTTGGCAAAGTGTCTGCCGGTTTTTTGCCACGTTGACGAAGGGCGGACGTATAAGTCCAAAGGCATTATGATCCTCAGTGTCCACGGCTCGCTGGGGAGAGGCACTCGTGCCTACCGGCGCCGGCTTGGTGTGCGCAGGCTGCATATCAAGCAAAACCCCATGGGCATGAACTACATGGGCAACACGTGGAGCACGCAGTTCATCTTTTGCTCTTTGCTACGCACAACCATGCACGACAGCCCAGATGTTTTGGACCAGGTTCTTGAGGTCTTCTCTGCAGACATGGCGAAGCTGGCTGTTGCTGGCGTGACGAGTACCAATGGGAGAAGAAAGTATTGGGCCCAGCTCTTGTGCTGCAAGGGCGACCTGCCCGCTCTTCAGAAGGTGGGTGGCCTACGCAGGAACTACGCCAGAGTTCCTAAAAAAAGGAATCCAGAAACCCATGTTTAGGAATATGTTGGATCTGCAAAGCAGGTGCAGAGGCCCCCGAGGTTGTACCGTTCGAGGACTACTCGCCGCAGGCAAGGTGGAGAGACACCTGCTTTACTGAAGATCCATGGGATGTGAGGCCCCCTATGCTGGGGGCTATTCCGCTCGACCCCAACAAAGAGCCTTCGTTTTTTCAAACGGACCTGTGGCACAACTGGCACAATGGGCTGGCGAAGTACTTTGTGGGCAACGCTCTCTGCACCTTCATCACCACTCATGACTTGATTCCAGCACGAAGCATAGACAGCAAGTTTGAGTGGCTGACGCAAGATTATCTGAGTTTTTGCCAAAGGTCGCAATTGACGCCTTTCCTGCGTGAAATCAATCGTGACACCATTTCGTTTGAGTCTGCTGCCAGTCCACCACAGGGCATGTGGAACAAAGCGGTGGTATCCACCCACCTGATGCTCTATGTGGCGGATTTCTGTTCTCGATTCGTGAAAGGCAAAACGGAGGACTACATTTTGAAGAAGATCGTATCTCGGACAAAACAGGGTATGAGATTCTTCTGTTGCTTTTCGTTATATAGATTTGTTTCCCTGTGCTTGGGGATTTTTTGTACGGCTTGGCACAGCGTATTTTGTGCATGGGATAGTTCAGGTGAAATGCACTTGCATCATGAACATCTTCATCGCCAGCCTCTACTCCGAAGGCTTTTGGATGCCATCTGATCGGGCTCTCAAGTTAGGAAACCTTCTAACTAAGTTTCTTGTGTTGTACGGACGCATGGCTTCGATTTCACATTCACTCGGCCTCAGCCGTTTCCAGCATGTCCCTAAGGGACACATGCTAGATCACACCGCATTTTCAATGACCTCACAAGCTGCGACATCGGCTTGGGTTGAAAACCCCCTAGCTACATCGAACCAAATGCAAGAAGATTATATCGGAAGACCAAGTCGACTGTCACGCAGAGTTCACGTGGCCCGTTTGCACACTAGGGTGATGCAACGATCGCTTTTGGCATCAGCTCAGGCGATGGCCGACTAATTTTCAAAAAGTGATCTGGGAGTTCAGGAAAGCCTTTAAACACTGCTGTTCACGCCACCCTCTCATAGAGATCTTGAAGTCCAGATTTCTAAGCCCCATACTTGCAGCCCAAGTATATGTAGACCCCAGATTGTTGAACAAGCCTTATAAAAAGCGCCTCTAAAACCCAAAGCTAATTTTAGATTCTTGGGCTCCCAGCGTTGGCGCTGCTTCGAAGCGTCGAAGAGCAAGGCGAAGGAGAAGGTCAGAAAGGGAAGATGGAAGCTAAGAGCTTATGAGGGTTGAGGGTATTTCGGGTGTTCGGACTGGGTTTGGATTTGAGGATAAGGACATGTATCCAGGCTTGTTCCTCTAAACACGTACAAGGGACGCTATGTTTTGTAGAATGTGTTAGAAGTTTAGATCAACTCTACTCTCTTCTTTGAGGATCCTACGGGCACTTTATAGGAGTATTTGCGAGGACTTCAGAACGTGTTATGTTGCTTTGGGAGAGCGACCTCTGTTTTAACAAGCGACCCTCATTTCACCCCCAAAAGGAGGTAGGACCTAAAACTGGAGGACCTGCAGGCTCCAGGTAGGGTTTAGGTTTTAGGGTACGAAGGTCTCGGTGCTTGGAGTGTTGGGTTTGGGGGAGTTGAGTAGGATGTCAGGCCTAGAGCTCATGCCAGTTTAGCCTTCAGGGTGCGAGTGTTCAGGTTGAGGACTTAGAGCTTGGTATGCTTTAAGGAAAGCATAGTCTTTCTGTGAAATGCAGCCCCGGTGCGTACCCCAAGCGAAAATGTTGACTTCTAACACTGGATCTTTCCCCAAAGGGTCCATGTAGCTATATGGTATATACTTTGCCCTTAAAGTAGGTATATGGGAACCCCTTTAGGCCCTAAGTATATACCATATACCTACATGGACCCTTTGGGTTCTTTTTTAATTGAAAGGGACTTGACCTTTCTCACCTACTTGGAGTAGGCTTCCTGCAGTCTACCTAAATGGTAGCTTCCCAAAATAAGGGGACCCCAATATAGTCCCCCAAATACTATAGTCCTTATTATAGGGACCCCCCTAAAAGGGTACCCCCTCAATTTTGGGAGACCCCAAAATCACCCAAGGCTATGGTCTGTTACACCATAGCTATTGCACTTCCTAGCCTAGTCCTGCCAACCTCTGAACCCTAAACCCTCAAACCCTAAACCCTAAACTGCGTGTCACTGGGTCCCCTCGCAGGTGGAGGGACTCCATCGGCCGCGCGAGGGCTGGTGAGAGGCGGGGCATTGGCCTGGGCAAGTGCTGCTCGAGATGGTAGAGTTTATAGTCCCCCTTAAGTAGATAAAATATGGTGTTTATGGAGATCTTATTATGATATACCCAAAGCCATATTCTATCTACTTAAGGGGGACTATAGACCATCGGGTTTCAGGATGTAGTTTTGAGGGCCACATTGAAGATGATCACCATCAGAATCAATGCAAGAGACAGCGGAATAAGTATGAGAACAGCGATACAGGGATGCAGGGGACGCCATGTGTTGGAGCTTTGAGGGAAATCCCGCAATCCGTGGATTGCACAGCATCAGTTCCGCGGCCGCTGAGGATAATGTCTTCACATGTGCCGGAAGAGAGCGACACAAATGGCTCAGGCAACAAAACTTGTGTCAGGCTATATCTCACGATCACAAGTTGCAAGGCTAATTACTAAGTTGTTCACGAAACAATTGCTATATCCATCATAAGCACTATGATTTACATAACATCCAACCATATCCAATCCATGAATATGGCGATGCACATGTGAGGCTACTTGTGCTAAAGATATGTAGAAATCACAGAGGGTTTCAACTGGTTCCAACCACAAGACCAAGGTTTGGGGTTCAGGCCGTCTCTACCTAGTTTATCAGTACGGGCTGAACGGTGGGACCTGAGATTGCAGTAGTCCCACGGATGCGCAGTTTTCTGACACATGTGCACTGCAGTTCCCCCAGTATGAAGGAGACCCAGCAAGGGATTGCAGATTTGAGAAGGACCTTCCAAAGCCTAATGCTCCACCCCCTAATAAATCATTCTATATTGACAACTAAGTTGGTCATTTGATTTGCCCTGGAACTCTGAAACTTAATCCCAAGATGGTTAAACTACCATAAATACCGGAAAGACAAAAATCTTTATTTTTGGCCCGACACATAAAACACTAATTTGGGAAACTCTAACCTCTATGTATATATATATATACATATACACCTCTATAACACGAGATATAAGCCTCATATATCCCCGTAAGGGTACGCCTAATTTTGGAAAACACCCATTTCTGCTCAACCCGGCGCCCGCCTCGAAGGCCTGCGCTGTTCGCTTGCCTTCGTGGGCATCGTCATGCTGCGTCTTGCAGCCTCGCTGCCATTGAGGGGTTTGGGGATTTCCCAAAAACCCGGGTTTAGGGTTTGGGGAAGTTAGATTACCCTCAGCGACTAGGGGATTAGGGTTTAGGGACATTGCCCCCAAAAAGGGAGAATAAAATGGAAAAGAACATTGAACATGAAATGCAACCTGGGGGTACATAGGGATCAGGGTTTCCCTATATTTAGGTGAACGCTTGAGGAGTTTCGATAACAAGGGTAATCTCATTTCGGGATCTATGTCGGGGTCCCTCCATTTATAAGAGAGAATATCATTTGTTTGCTTGTGGCTTCATATGAGGGACCAAGCACCCAATACGCATACGATGCATCCTGAAAACCTCTACTTGTTACGATTTATTGAATGGGATGGTATGGGAACTACTATAAATCTAACCCTAAACAGGGATCCATTCCTCCATTCCCTACTCCACCAAGCTTGGAATGTGAGGGTTATACTGTTTACGGTACTTACAGCCAGTTACGGGCTCTAAAATTGCAAGTCCGGCTTTGGGGGTCCTCATGAGAATGCCGAGAGATGACAAGCTGAAAGGTCAGGCAGGTGGACATACTGTTGATGGACAAAATCCTGAATGCTTCCCCCATGGGACGAATAATGCTGAAGCATGCTTAGCGTTTTGCAGGATTTTGTTCCTCAACCATAATGAGAGATCGAAGCCTTGGGTCACAATTCTTGTAACAACGATTCGTGCACGCACTGCATAAGTGGAAACCATCGAAACCGTTGGCTTTGTGAAACGACCAAGAAACACGCCAGAGTTCTGTGCTGCACACAACCTTTCTCCATACTGGAGAGGAATACCATGTAAAACTTTTCCCCCCAAAAGCATTCCATGCGCCCAAAAAGCATTCCATGCCCTCCGAAGCCTTTAGTGCGTTGCCTTACATACCCTAGCCATTCAGAATTACTTCACTTTGGAATTGCCTGCTTTGTTGTCACCTGGGCCCGGCGCAGGTTGCGCACTGCTTTGGTGCGGCAACGACCTCAAGTGGGCCAAGTGCTATTCAGGCTAGCCGTGCTGTCAAAACAGATCTCAGGATACCAGCCGGAATGCTGATCTGCAGGCCCTAATACGGAAGCTATATCTATATCTATATGTGTATATATGTGTGTATATGAAAATAGATCGATAGACAAACAGGAAGAGGTGAAGCGCGGTAGACGCTTCTTTGTGCCAAATTTCCATGGGAAACATCTGCCATACCCAGGGAAGTGGTCTCAGCAGTCCATCCATACTTGTCTGCGTAACGGTGGCAGAAATTCCAAAGTGTCCATGTAGGTATGTGATAGACTCTTAGGGCCTAAAGTGGTTCCTATATACCTACCATGAGGCCCGCGTATATATATATATATGTGATATATATATATATATATGTGTATACATGGACCCTTAGGGTCTTCAATGAGATTGGGCTCATACCATGTAGGATGTGGGTTTGTGCGCCAACTGCTGGCCTACTCACGCTGAGGGCCTCAACTCCTTCTGCCTTGTAGAACCAAAGACCAATCTTTGACCTCAGTTTCCTGCGCAGAAGCATGCCTGAAAATTGAACCACATGTGTTTGACCCACATGTGAGCCATAGTCCAAACTCCTGAAAGGGGGTGATTTAGGGGATTATATAGGGGACTATTATAGGGGTTATTAAGGGGGATACTAGGAGTTGAGACTATGGACTATAGCTCATGTGTTTCCAGAAACGTCTTCTATGGCATGAAGAGCTGTGAGCGATGCTCATGCTCAAGTTCTTGGCCTCAAATGGGGACCATGTACGGGAGGTTGCCATAAACCCAAATGCTTTTACAAGGCCGCAGAATTTTGGGTGCCTTAACTAGTCTGCACGAGTAGTCTGCGCGGGGTGTATGTCGGCTTGTTCCCACAATGGGGGCCGCAGTATTCTAGAGCATCCATGGGAGGCCATGATTTCAGAAAAAGCCCAAGTGCCATATTGCCGTATGAAGTCCCACAAATTCAGGCCAAGGGTCCCCCTCCTGCCCTCCGCTGCCCAAGTCACCGGGCAAAAGCTCAAACACTGATGGTCACTAATCCCAAGCCTTGCAATCACGACAGGAAGTTCAGCAGTAATGCTCAATTGAGAAACTTTCTGGGCTTTTACATGCTCAGTGCTTCTCAAGAAATTTCCACGAAATGGCCTTGCAAACCCAAACCAGGAAAGTTTTGAGATCAGTCACGAATCCCGGACATCCACCAAAGCCATGAATCCCTACCTCTATTCATGGGTGTGAAGTCATAACTTCACTTCCTAAACCCTAAACTCCAA